GGGGGGGGGTGGGGGGTGCTTGAAGGATGCCCTGGTGAGCTTGGGGCACGTTTCTTGGGTCGGTTGGCAGATGAAGAAGTGGTCACATGAGCGGTTGCGGTGCTGCCTTGTGGTGCAGATGGGAGTTCTGACAACGGGCACACCCCGGGCCCCGGCGCCGGCCACCTGTCTTTGGGTCGAGTGTGAAGGGGTTCATCTCCAGCAGGGTGGCGTCTAGGTCGTCGAACACCTGGCCGGGTGTCAAGGGGCGGTCGTGTGCATGGGAGGAGAGGAGAGGGAGCGAAATCCAGTGAACCCTGCGAGGGATCCGGATTCAAACATCGAAGACAGAATCAGACAGAATCAAACCCCCAGCTGTGATGTGTAGACGCGATACAGCGGCCCCGCATGTCAACCTCTGCCTCCCTCAAGAGTCCTGGCCTCACCCACACCTCGCCCCGCGCCCTCCCCCCCTCGGCCATGTGAGTCGCCCCACCTCGAAGCAGTTGCGCAGGAACGCCTCCAGCTTGGGCCGCAGCTCCAACGGCAGCGGCGCCACCAGCGGAGCCAGGGCGTCCCCTGGCGGCGTGCGGCAGGGGGCGGGCAAGACCCGGGAGGTGACCAGATGGGGTTCTCACTGCCAACCCTACGTACTGCAGATGAGGCAGCCATGGCCAGCCGGGCAGCCCGTGGCGCACCCTGCCCATCTACCAGGTGAATCAGTTGCTTGTGGACTGTGCAGCCCCCTAAAGGTTGCCTGCGCCCCGTCAACCAGACAACAGCACGACCCAGCCTTGAAGCACGCCCTCAGGGGTTGACCAGCCAAGAAACAATGCAGCGAAGCCAGCGGCGCTTGCGCCGCGCCGCCCCGCGCCCCCGCCCTCACCTGACGCAGGCGTCCCCGTGGGCAGCGTGACTGTCTTCACCTTGTCCCAGTTCTCCTCAATCTCCACGCCACCCGCGGTGGAGAAGCTGATGTCGCAGCCCAGCCTGGCGGTCAAAGGTGGTCAAAGGCGGTCAAAGGCAGTCAAAGATGTTGTTTCTGGGCGGGCAGATTGAAACTGAAGTGTCATGGCCGCTGTGAATTACGCTTTCACATGGCGCCAAGGGTGATGGTGTACTGCTGCCGCTGCTGCTGCCGCTGCTGCTGCTGAGCACTGCTGGCTCATGTGCTCTTGCCTTGCGGCAACTGCAGGGGACAGCAGACACGCCTAGGCGCCGCCCGTCCTCGGCAGACTGCAACAGGTTGAAACGCTCCCCCCTTGATACAGCTTGGAAGCCTTGCAGCACGCCACCGCCCCATGTGGCGGCTGCTCCCACCGCCAGCGACACACGGCAGCCAAGGCACGAGCCTCACCGCCCCGACTGGATGCTCAGGTAGTACTCGTCCTCGTGCGGCACAAAGGGCTCCACCACAAACGTCGTCACGGGGCCAGACAGGCCGTTGATCAGCACCTGCGGAGGGGGGGACAGTCGGCACGACGGCGGCGTGGGGCAGCCGCGGGGCAGCATGCGAGGAGGGCGCGGGTTGGTTGGTGGGCAGGCGTGCAGATGAGGGGTGGTGGAGCCGGCGCCGCAGCCGCATCATCACGAATAACCATGCGCCTCAAAACATGCATTAGAACCTCAACCGTCCGCAAAGATACTCGACACACACAAGCATCCACCAATCAGCTGAATGCGCTCCCAGGACGCCTCCTCGCGCGCCACACGACAGACATCGCACATCACACATCCTACATGCATTGATGACAAGTGACACGCCACCCCCCACCCACCTCCTTGTTCATGCGCGCCCTGATGAAGGCCTCCGCCTCGCTAAATGTGAGGTTGAGGCCCACCAGGTCGTTCTTGCCGCGCTGGCCAAACAGCATGTCCGGCTTCACAACCAGCTTCACCTGGGTTGGTCCAGGGGTTGCATGATTTCTGGAGGATATCTTGGCACAGGGCATCATGGACATGGCCATGTGCGGGCCTCTGAATGGAGTAATGCCTCAGAATGTGGCGATGCATGCGGCGGGCCAGGTGAAGAGGCAGGCTTCATAAGGGGGCTTTACAGGGCGTCGAATGGCCAGACCGCCACAAACGCAGCGCCCGTCCGCTGCCCCAGATTGTCAGCGGCGGCCATACCAAACGCAAACCTGGTTGAGCCAGGGGTGCTCCGCCAGGAGGTCTGAGTAATTAGTGGCTTGGGTCACCTGGTGACGTGGGTGGTTGCGTGGTTGGGAGGTGCCAGCACGCGTCAGCGCAATTGGGGAATTGAGGGTCCAGCAGAGCGCCTGAAGGGGTGGTGCTCCATGCAAGCGCATGCATGACAGGACATCGTGCAAGTAGCGGCCTGGATCGGCTGGGCGTGCTCCGCATGGGGTGCTTCGAGGTGGTGCTGACGCATGTACCGCCGCCACGCAGGGGCGGTATCACCCCACAGCGGATTGCCATGCGCGGCCACCATGAACCATGGGGTGCTGCACGAACCCTGAACCTTACGCTAGAGTGTTTCAAACGCCGGCGTAGCTCTCATGCCGCGCAGCCGTCATGCTGAACCCTGGATCGCCCCGCCAACATCCAGCAGGCTCACCTGCGCCACATTTATCGGCAGCTCCACGCCGGCAATCCGCTTCATGGCCTCGCGCAGGAGGCGCTTGCCAGTGTACTCGCGCACCTGCACAAGGGGAGGCGACGGGGCGCATTTGACTGCTGCGGATGCACACACTTGCGCCACACGGGCGCACATCGCGCCACTGGCGCCATGCCGGGATCGCCTCGGCCGCAAGGTCCGTGCACGATATGTGTAGCTGCTGTTGGTCCATAGCGATTTCTAAAGTCCAGTTGCTGCTGCATTGGAGCCGCGCGATGCCTACGGGAACCAACCTTCTTGCGCGCCATGCTTCCAGAAGTGCCCAAAACTATGTCAGGCTCAAGATATGGAAAGCAACACTCCACGAGATCTTATGCGAGCGCGTGGGGGCAAGTGAAATCCCAAATGGCCCGAGATCAATGCTCTGGATATGTTGCACGGTGGTGCCCCGTATGATGTTTGATGCGACAAGGTGATATTTTCTGCCAGCTGTATGCACACAGTACCACTGCGGCAAGTGCCGCATGCCCCCTCCACCTGCCCCTGAACTCTCGCCACCCCCAACGCGATAGCAAGTCATGTGCCCATGTGACGGGCAACTTGGGCAGCAGGGGCAACCTGTTTGGATGAACGGCATGGACATGCATCAAAGTTGATTGGCATCGGAAAGCGCAGTTCGACCTGCCCTCTTGTGCTCGGCCCATGCATGGCTTGTGCTCGCCCCGTCACTCATGCCCTATACCTCTGAACTCCTGCCCCACGGCCCGCCAGGGCCGTTCTTGCCTGACCGTAATAAACCATCAACATGCAGGCCCCAGTCATGGTAGCCTGTAGGATCACCCAGCGGCCTGCCTAGACACTGTTGACTTTGATTGATCGAAGCTGACAATGGCCAAGATGAAGGCTCGATTATACAGTCACAGCAAGAGCGGGGCATTTACATGCAGTGCGCAGGTAACTGTGGCGTTTGGCCGAAGTTCTGCAGCAACAAGCGAGTCCCATGAGGTTGGTGAGTTTAGATCTGGGACACAAAAGCCAGATTGCAGAGGATTGAGCTACAGAAAGGGCGCACAGGTGGACAGGGCCCCTGCCCAGCTGGGCAGGCAACACACTTACACGGCATCCGGGTCTTGTACGAACAGCGCAAAAGGCAGCATGGGCGGTGATGCCACGGTGCTGTAGAGCATCAGATGGATCGGGATTCCTTTCGTGGAATCAAGGATGGCAAGCACCCATGTTCCCGCGGCGAGCCCAATGAACGGCATTGACACCACTCCGGAACTTTCGGCGCAGCATTGTTGATGCCCCGCCAGGCTGGTCCGTAATCAGGTCCAGGCCGCTCTCCACCGCACGTCGCTGGACAGGACGGCGCGCAAGCTGGGTTGCCATGTGAAGTTGATGTGGGGAGGCTTGAGTTTAATAGAGGTACTGTACGCAGCCCCCATGACGCCCTCGCTGTCGGTCCGCTCATGCCTGCCGCGCTCGGCAAGCCTTCATGACGAGGAGCGACTGGTGAATGCCGTGGTGCAGTGCCTGCGGGGCTTGGACCCACACCCCTTCCCAGCTTTGCCGCGATTTGGGGCATCACATTGATGTGCGTGGGTCCTTGTCAGCCTTAGCGACAGCGAAAAGTTGCAGCCCTCAGTGAGCGCCTGGTGCTGCAGGAGGGCCGGTTCACCGCCGCTGCCGCCGCTACTGCTGCTGCTGCTGCCGCTTTCGCCGCTGCTGCTGCTGCTGCTGCTGCTGCTGCTGCTGTTGCTGCCGCTGCTGTCGCAGTAAGTGCTTTCTTTGCCTCTGCTTCTGCTTCAGCAGAACCTGCACTCCCTCCGACAGAAGCAAAGGCCACGTGCCGCCCCTGCCATAAACTTCAACTTCGCACATCACTTGCAATCAAATGCCAACTTGTGTATCCCCTCATGTACTGCTGACCAGCTGCAATCGCATCACAATTACGTGGTCGTCGTTGTGTGAGTGCGCCCCTGGTGCGGTTAAGCACCACTTACCTGTGTTGCTCACTTACAAGAGACCCTTGAAGTCACCTCTACAATCAGCTGCAAGGAGCTTGATGGCGTATAAATGTGCTTCCACCCTGATAGTGAATCGAAGACGGCTGACCAGTCAACAGGGTGACAACAAGTGACGCCTCAACCGAATGGTAGTGCGAATGTCGACGCCTATTTAGCAGCCTGGTCACATCAATGCCATCAGTCCTCCAGCCGTACGCGCGATGACCATGGCCGACACAGAACTCCTTGATCTGATAGGTTTTCTGGGCGACTCAACACGCAATGACGTGAGTTCTTATGGCACTCGTATGCCTGCGTACGCCTGGGCGCGATGCTTGAGGATCACAAGCCTCCACACACCTGTCAGCTTGCGGCGCGCCGTTTGCCACCGCATGGGTCGCAAAATAATGAAATATGTTGCTGTGAACCATGCCGCAGCAAGAAAGGCGCAGCGCCTTCGTTGGCCGTGGGCCACCGCCTGTCGGGTGGGCCGCCGCTCGCGTGCGCTGCTACTGTGGCCCTGTTGCCTGCCAGCGTGAGAGGCAAGCGCCCTCCCTCGCCTGGCAACGTGCGTCAACCGCTCAGGTCCAGAAGATGGCCCTTGACATTGTGGCGGGTCTGACGGCCACACAAGAGGGCATCAACCGCCTGAAGCCCGCAGCAGAGCCCCTGGTCACGCGCCTGTTCCGCCTCGTCCCGGACAGGGCCCTGTCCCAGCAGGTCTGCCCGCTGCCGCTGCCCCTGCTGCTGCTGCCGCTGCTGCTGCTGCCGCTGCCGCTGCCGCTGCAAAGTGCGACGGTGGTGCTCGCGACGGTTGCGGCGGCAGTGAAAGGCGAGTTGGCAGCAGCGCTGGCGGATCCAGCGGCTGCTCCGTCCCCATGCCTTCCTTGTATCAACCCGCACCGCACCCTTTGCACCGCTCCTGCTCTGCATGCCCGCTTCATAAAAAAGGCGCTGGCTGCCCTAGTAAACCTGGCCCAGGACGACGACGCGCGCGGCGCCATGGTGAAGCTGCGCGCCGTGTCGCGCGTGCTGGAGGCCATCCGGGAAAAGAGCTGCCCCCACCTGCACCTCTTGGTGGGTATGCACGCACTCGTCGCCTGGTGCCGCCGCGTATTTTAACACTGCAGTGCCAGCACTCCACACCTACTGCGGTGGTACCTTTGCGCAGTGACTGTCAGACACACCTTCTGCTGGACACGGTCACGAACCGTGCACGCTGCGCCCGCACTGCGTATGTCGCACCCGAGTCTCAAAAGCGCCCTCTCGCATCTCCACTCCATGCCATGCGCAGACCATGCTGCTGGCCAACTTGACAGTGGAGGAGGCGGCGTGCGAGGAGCTGCTGCAGCTGGGCAGCGGCGGCATGGAGGGACTGAACATGTGAGGATCCGCCATTGATGGCTCAATAGTGTGTGAACGGTTTGTCTGCCCCCAAAGCAGCCTGTGTGTCTGCGTGCAGCCAAAAGCACTAGGGCGGAGTGCTTCGAGGGGGATTTAAAGGCGCCGTGCTGCACCACGTTTGATGCAGTCGGGGGCCGCGGATCCCGTCAGTCTGTGACTCATGCTCGGAATGCTTGCCGCGTGCGCCGGTGCCATCGCAGGGCGCTGCTGCTGAAGATCTTCATCACCAGCGCGGTCACCCTCGACGCGCCAGTGCCGGGCCCCAGCAGCGCCAACGGCACCAGCAGCAGCGGGGGCGCGGGCGGCGCGGCCTCCCCGTCAGCGGCGGCAGCGGCCCAACCAGGCAGCCTCGCGTCTGCGGCGGCGGATGCGGACCCTTGCCAGCATTTGGGGGCGGTCATTACGAACGTGACGCGGCTGAAAAAGGGGCGGGAGATTTTGCTTGAGCCCGGCCGCGGGCTGCTGCAGGCGCTCGCGGCGCAGCTGGCGCCCGGCAGCAGCGAGCGACGGCGGAGAGGGTGCAGCGCCGCGCTGCGCAACTGCTTCATGTCAGCGGAGGTGAGTGGGAGGTGCACGCGGAGTGCGCCCCTGCGGTCAGCAGTGAAACTCATGAGGCGCACGAGGGTTTTAGGAGACGCAACAAACTTGAGAAGTTGCACGCTGCAGCGCCACATGGTCTGCTGCCCTGGATCTTTCATCGTGTCTTCAAACCGTGTAGCAGCCTGGGCCGGCCTGCTGTTTTTCAAAGCCCATGCTATGTCACACACACACACACACACACACACACACACACACACACACACACACACACACACAC